GATGTTTTGTTTTTAAAAATACTAGGCATACCTAGATATTCTACCGCTTGCAGTTTTTGCCAGCTGTTTCAATGGGATTCCATGTAGTGACAGCGTTTGTCCCTATGACTGTAGGTCCGTTGAAGACTTGTCCCATGTTACATTTCAGTGCTTGATATTTGCGACTAAGCATAAAAATTTTTTCAGGACCATTGTATCTCATTTCCTGGGAAGGTCAGATCCAGATAAATTAGTATTGCTACTAGGAGATAAGTGTATTACTTTCTGAATGTAAAAGTTTGTTGCTGCTATCATAACGATGATGATGAGGCATTCCAGTGTAAATATGGTTAATCTGCACACTATCTGCTCTATTTTGGGTCATTAACCATTTGGATTGTAAGGTAGTATTATTTATTTTGAGATATTTTAAACAATCATTATGGATTTTAATCTTTCCTATGAAAAAGTTTTGAATTTTTTTGGGTTTTATTTTGATTGAATCAGTGTTGCTATGGCTTATTTGATGATGCAATACAGGCAGACTTGACTTAAAAATCCTTCCTGAATGAGTGCAGAAAAAAATCATATCAAAGGGGAACAGCCCAGCAGCCATGTTCATTGCTTAATGAGCCCCCAGTTTTCTTTGTGTTCCTTGGCTGACGAGGGAATGGGTTGGATGGAAATAGGAGAAATGTGCACAAGCCTCCAATTTTCTCTAGTGTGCATGCTATGTTAATGACCTACTTGGAGCCTTGTATACTGGGAGGCACAGTGCAGAGGAATGGGTCAACTTAGAATTTTTTATATTTTAGAAGAGTTTTAGTTGTTTGGTGTGCCATGTAATGAGTGACGCTAAGCAGATCTGCTCAGAATTATGTACTATTTCATTCATCACATGAAAGCATCTTGCAGGTTTAGTGATGTAGCCCAAACATTATAATTTGCTAAAGTTGAAGAATGATTGTAACTCTTGTGCAAGGCAGTGCACACATGTCACCAGGTTTTGTATTGTTTTGGAATAGCAGGGCATCTCTGGCCTCTCCATGTTGTACTTCAAGCCTTTTTTGAAAAGTGCACAGAAGCAATAGTGTTGTTCCAAGAAAACAGGAAAAGCCTGGCTGCACAGGCATATCTGCAGGTGCTCATCTTGTTGCATTGCAACTTGTGACTATTGTAATCTTATTGAAATGAACTCATTTTCTTTTTGGTTTCTGTATGTGTGGCATGACAACTGCCATACTTATATGGATTATGGGTGCATTTTATTAGAGAATGGAATAAGTGAAATTAAAGTTGCCATGATAAAGTTAGCAAAATGTTGTTACAATACATCCAAATAAAAGTAATATAGTTCTCTAAAATTAATTTTGTAGGTTTAATTTTTTTTAACTTTATTTTGGTAACTGAGAGGTATAAAACAGTTTTAGATCAGTTCAGTTAATCAGTAGTCATGTGCCACTGCAATAGCACAATAACAGATGTACTTACTAGTGCATCCTATACAGAATTGCTTCAATAGAAGTGCATTGAAATCATTGGGCTTCAGTTAGGGTTGCCAAATCGTTCTTACCTCGCAGCGGGGGGCTCCCGTTCGGCATCCTCAGCCGGATGTGACGTTTTCACCTCATATGGCTGTGGCCCCGCCCCCAGCGTGCCCGGCATCATCACGTCACATCCGGCTGACGTGCACGCCGGGGTGGGGTTTCCTCCGGGGCCCGATTCCGCGGCGGCGTAAATCGGGCCTCCAAAGCGGGGGGAAATCCACCCCCCGGGGGGATTTGGCAGCCCTAGCTTCAGTTAAATTAACTCTGTATAATATTGCATGTCCTTTATAGATTTTTTTAAAAAAAACTGCTATCAGAAAATAAATAAAACAGAATCTATATACAATAGCAAAGTCAGCCAAATCTGAGAATACTTAAAATCCAGAGACTAGAGTGGTGAACAGGCAAGATACATCTTTCTACAAACCTGAAAAACACCCCAGGTATACAGAAGAATCGGTTATCTAAAATATGTAGCCATTGCTAGGCAGCCACTGATTCCAGGCTTGGTTCTGTCAGTAAAGGGCAGGGGGAGGGGTCAGGGCCCTTTCCAGGCCTATTTTAGCCTTTGAGGCCAGATCCAGGATGGTTTGTGGCTGAGTCTGAAGAGGCTCTGTCTGAGCTGCTAGGCCTAGCAGCTACCTCTGTGTGACTTGATACCACCTGACTTGCATGACTCAACTAGGCCTGGCTGCTTGCTACTGTTCAACAGCTGCCACCGTATGAAAGCCAGTGTGGTATAGTGGTTAGAGCTTCAGTAGAGACCGAGGCTTGAATTCTCATTTTGCTGTAGAAGCTCACTGGGTGATTTAGGGTCTGGAGTCTGGGGAGGGTGGGGTTGCAGAGGGGAGGGTGTCAAAAGGGTATAATGCAACAGACTCCACCCACTAAAGCAGCCATTGTCTCCATGACAGTTGGGGTTGCCAACCTCCAGGTGGGGGCTGGAGATCACCCAGAATTACAATTGATCTCCAGATGACAGAGATCAGTTCCCCTGGAGAAAATTGTATTGTTTTAATATTGTTATTTATGGTCTAATTGACTTATTTTAAGATTGTATTAAATTTATTGTTGTGAACCGCCTGGAGCTATATAAGCCGAAATAATAAATAAATAAATAATACTGAGGTTGCTTCCCTCACCAAACCTCTCTTTCCAAGGCTCTACCCACCAGTCCCCAAGAATTTCCCAACCTGGAGCTGGCAACCCTCAGGAGAGAAGGAAGCAGGAAAAGGGGAGAATCTATGGGAGCTTTCAGGACAGGGAAAGGAAAGAGGAAATAGTGGGGGAGACGGAAATAAGATTCCTCCCACAAGTCTTTGTGGGTTCCCGCTTGTAGTATCTAAAACACAAAACTGTTATTGAAAGTATTCAGTTTTTTCTTTGTATTTCATTTGCCATAACAAAATTTAGTGTGAATGTGAGAACATATTAAGCTGCCTTATGGCAATTCTGACCTTTAGTCCACATAGCTCAATACTGCCCACTGAACTCAACTGGAAGCTGATTTCCAGTGTTTCAGGCAGATAAAGGACTTTCCAGCATTCATTTTCTGAAGGGCAAATTAGTCTTGACCTTTTTAAATGAGTTGGATCTGGGTTCCCCCCAGAACTCAACTTGCTTTCCTCCCCAGCCACACAGAGGCTGCAATTCAAATCAGGACATTGTGGAGTTGGAAGAGGGGCTTCCACCTCTCCCCCCTGTGCTTTTTTCTCAAACGAAAATGACCCAAGGAGTATTATTTCCCCATTTTGGAGCTGCATGAGCATGGTATACTTCTTTAATCTGCAGCTGCAGTGTAGCTGTGGGGGAAGTGAGTCAGGTCTGAGGAGAACATGATTCATTGAAGAAATCATGTCTAGTCTGGCCATAATTTCATTTGATGCTATGGATTAAACCCAGGAAACTCTTCATGCAAACCATTGAGTCACAGTCTGTAGTCTATAGATTTTATGCTTGTGCTAAGTACTATTTCTGCTTCTGAGGCTTTGGCATGTAAAATTCCTTTTCATTTTACTAACAGGAGTATTTGAGGGCACATTTGAAATATTTAGGGCAAAGTATTTTCAAGAAGACAAGAATTTTTGGAATGTATCAATTTCATTTTATCAGCTTTTTTTAAAGTAGGATTGCCAGAACCCCCCCAGTCCAGGCAAGGTTCTTCCACTTTTGGGTGCTCCCCCCCGAAATTACCCCCTCTTACCTCCGAGAAGACAGAAATAACCATGACATGCCTATGTAACCTGGAAGTGACGTAGGCACGTTGGATGGCAACGCTCTGGGTTTTTTGGGCCGAACTCTATGATTTGTAGCTAATTCTACCAATTGGAAAGTATCAATTTCATTTTATCAGCTTTGTTTTTAATTAGGATTGTCAGAACCCCCCATTCCAGGCAAGGGTCTTCCACTTTTGGGTGCTCCCCCCCCCCCAAATTACCCCCTCTTACCTCTGAGAAGACAGAAATAACCATGACATGCCTATGTAACCTGGAAGTGACGTAGGCACATTGGATGGCAACACTCTGGGTTTTTTGGGCCGAACTCTATGATTTGTAGCTAATTCTACCATAGAATTTTCCCAAAACCCAAAGTGTTGCCATCCGACATCCCCATTGAAGTGATGTGGGCACGTTGCGGCACTCCTCCCCACTCCCAGAAGAACATAAGAACATAAGAGATGCCAATGTTGGATCAGGCCAAAGGCCCATCCAGTCCAACACTCTGTATCACACAGTGGCCAGAAATACCAGTGCCATCAGGAGGTCCACCAGTGGGGCCAGGACATTAGAAGCCCTCCCACTGTTGACCCCCCCCCCAAGCACCAAGATGACAGAGCATCACTTGCCCCAGAGTCCCTATCTATACCTTGTGGCTAATAGCCACTGATGGACCTCTGCTCCATATGCTTATCTAATTCCCTTTTGAAGCCATCCATGCTTGTAGCCGCCACCACTTCCTGTGGCAGTGAATTCCATGTGTTAATCACTCTTTGGGTGAAGAAGTACTTCCTTTTATCCGTTCTAACCCGACCGCTCAGCAATTTCATGGGCTCCCTCCTATCCCCTGCCAGTGTGTTGCTGGGACCTGGGACCTGGCAACCCCCAGTTTTTAATAGTTATGTACAGTAATATTTATTACATCAAATCTCTTTTGAGTTTACTTTTATTTTGAACTCTATATATAAAATGGCACAGGGCTATAAAAATTTTAGATATAGGTTTAATATGACCACAGAAAATTCACTTCTGGCACCAGGAAATGTTGCAGTTCTTCAGTGTAAGCTCCCTTGTTTACCTCGGCTTAAGCTGTATGTGGAAAATTTGCATTCTCCTTTGCTACAGCATAGTTTAGAGTAGACCATTAGGATCTAGAAGACAGTCTCTTGATGCTCATTACATGTGACACTGGGAACTCCATGGTTTTTTTAATTCCACGTGCATGGTCTTGATTTGGATTGGGCCCCAGTACATGTGATTTTTTTTAAAAAGTGCTGGAAGCTTCCAGCATCATATGTAGGTCTGCCCTCAATAAGTACTTATTACTGGCAAAGTGTTTGCATTTTTCTTTTTAAAGAGGCTAGAAGTTGAATACTCAAAAATAAAAACATACCGTATAGCAGGGCTTTTTTTCTGGGAATGTATGGGAACAGAGTTCCGGAACCTCTTCGACATTTTAAAAATGTTTAAAAGTTCATGAGTTTTCAGTATACAGATTGAAAACTTCATTTCCCTCTTGAGAGTTCTGGCACCTCTTTTTCCAAAAATAAAAGCCCTGCCATATAGTAAATATGTTCTCTGGTCCCTATGAATTGTATGGCTGAGAAAGTTACTTACTGATGTGGATTCTGAATGTGTGGCTTCTTTGCAAATATTGATAAAGGATGGGGAAGGAGCTACTGCTCTGAATGTACTCTTGGTTGGTCTGCAAGCCACTAATGACATAGTTAGACTTGGGCCAAGACTTAGACTAGAATCCCTACTTTTGTCCATGCTTGCATGCTTTTGTGCTTTCAAACTGACACACAGATATTAAAGACATAAAGTTTTCCTTAGCATTTATCTTCCTGCTGCTAAAAGCTTCAGAATTGAATTTTTGTGTGTCATGCAGCTGCCACCAGCATAGGAGTATTGCTGTGTGTGACTTAACTGGGATCAGTTGCTTAATTGTATTTCCCAGTTGGCTTTGCATGCTTTCTGTTTTCCATTGTCCAGGTAGAATAGCATGTGCAAAGAAGTATCACTGTTGCTTTCCTTGGAAGGTCACTGTATGTTAATTTACAGTTCAAGATCCTTCCAGATTTGCCTGTTGGGAAGTTTTGGAAAATAAGCTTTGGAATCAGAGTCATTTGAACAGTATTTATTTTGTTCAGAAATGAAAGCTGTAATTTGTAAGATCATTTGCAGATAATTTCTTTGTAATTTTCTTTATTAACATTCAGCACATTTTTATCACTGAAATCCCTAATATTATATATAATTCCTTTTTCCAAGAGTAATGACAGATATCACCAAATTTCCATATGTGCTGCCAGTTCTCTAGACAGAGACAGTGATATGAATCCATCTGATGAACCATAGCATATGAATTATATTCCCAGTAGTCATTTCATAGAAAAAGAGGTGCAGGAGCTCATTAGCATAACTCATTAGCAGGAGTCATTTCCTGCAGGAGCGCACAGGAGCTGAGCTCCGGCAGTAAAGAGCCCAGGGGGTGGGCACATGCAACAAGCCCCACCCCCTGCTCCCAGCAGCCCTCAGTCAGAGCAAGAAGCAGCCAGGTAAGTTGCAGAGCCGCCCTGCCCTCCCCCCCGGTCCAAAACAGTCCAGTGGCAATACGTTATGCTAATGAGTTATGTTAATGAGCTCCTGCACCTCTTTTTCTACGAAATGACCCCTGCTCATTAGCATAACTTATTTGCATATGCCACACACCCTGACATCAGCGGAAGTGTGTCAGAAGGCGACACCTACCGCTCAGGCTCCACTGGACTGTTTTGGATTGCTAGCTATTGGGGGGGGGGGACGTGCAGATCTGTCCTCGCAGAGGAGGGAGAACTTGTACCTGAATAAAACTTGGTCTTAAAGGTGCCACTGGACTGTTTTGGACTGGGGGGCCGGGGGGAGCTCTGCAACTTATCTGGCCGCTTCTTGCTCTGAGGGCTGCTGGGAGCAGGGGGTGGGGCTTGTTGCATGTGCCCGCCCCCTGGGCTCTTTAGTGCCGGAGCTCAGCTCCCGTGCGCTCCTGCAGGAAATGACCCCTGTATATTCCTTTGCTGAAGTTTATACATTCTCCATAGTGTGGTGTGACTTGTATTTTAATATGGGTCCCATTGGGTCCTGTTGAAAAGATCTGCACACAGAAGAGGTTGAATAATTATCCCCTCTCCTGAATCAGCCCTCATGCAGTTCCCTCTTATTGCTCCTGGCTCCCTTTTCCTCCAGGAACAGCATTGCAGGGGACATTTTGGGATACTTTAAGAGGGGGAGGTGGGAACATTGCACTAAAGTGTACAGAGTTTAGATGCAAACCAACCCATTGATAGATTTATATTTAAATATTAACTTTGTGAAGAGGTTGAATCAAAAGCTGTAATTTCCACCTGAAAATTAACTATACTTGCAGCTGATAAACTGTCTAGTTTTGTGCAACATAGTGATGGGATAGGAACTAGGGTTACCAACCTCTGGGTAGACCCTGGCAATTCCCCAGAGTTACAACTGATCACCAAATACAGAGATCAGTTCTGCTGCAGAAAATGGCTGCTTTGGATGGTGGGCTCTATGGCATTTTACCCTGCTGAGATCCCTTCCCTCTCGAAACCCCACTCTCCCTAAGCTGCGCCCCCCAAATCTCCAGGAATTTCCTAACCCAGAGATAGCAACCCTAAGGATGTCCTGTGGATCTAAGAGAGAGATTATCATATTTCTGTTATGTCTAGACATAAGAAAACAGTATTTCAAAAGTTTGTTGGAATACAGTGATTTTACTGCACCTTTCCCTGATACTACTATCAGACATTCAGCATACACACAAGTTTCCATGCATAAAAATGCCTCTTTACTTCCCCATGCCCAGCTTGGTACTAGATTTTTTCCCTGCCCAGAACTCCAGTAATGCTTTCCTTCCTCTCTATTCTTGTCTCAGCTGCAGATCCATGCCAAACTCACCCTAATCTCTCTGTCTGTCTGTGTCTGTCTGTCTGTCTGTCTGTCTCTCTCTCTCATATGTACACAGACACAATATTTTTGCATTATACAGAACAAACCCATATGGGAACATGAGTCTTCCTTAGTTGATCAAAGTTTCAACTTCTTTGAAATACAAACTTGAAGAAATTCTCTAAATTATAGAACGCCAATTGCCAACATTCCTGGTATGATCCAGACACAGTTAAATATAGTTAAGGCCCATTATTTTAATATTTGCATCCTTTCAACCCCCTATTTTTTCAGTGAAGCATTAATAAGGATTGTCCATTTTATCCTCACAACAATTCCATAAGAGAGGTTAGCCTGAGACAGTAACTGGCCTAAGGAAACTCAGAACTTTAGGAATGAACAAGGATTCACTGACACACTCAGTGTACTACACCATTCTGGTCACTTTGACTTCAAGAGCAAAAGATAAAATAAAGCAAAAAGCATGCCTGACTCTTCCAGTTGTGTTTATATATAGTAGGAAGAGTTCTGGCTTCCAGGAATTAATTAGTTGTTCCAGCTTTAAAAATACTTAGATATATATTGTAAGATGTTACTTCCAAAGTATATTAAGACCTTGAGTATTTATATCAGTGAGTGATACTACTAGTAATAAAATTCAAGTACTTACAATTAAAATATGAGCAATTTTTTCTTCTGCAGCAGAGTACGGTACAATCCACAGTCCAACGACTCCCATTAAAGATTCAGAGGCAGACAGGTTGCGCCGCAGCTCAGATGGCAAATCACGTGGCCGAGGCAGAAGGAACAATAATCCTTCACCACCACCTGACTCTGATTTAGAGGTATTGTATATGCAGTATTATTTGATTTATCATCCTAGCTTCGCAAGGAGCTTTGGGGAGATTACAAAATATCAAACCAGTTGATGAATAAAAACAAGTTCTAGTACCCACAAGCCCACAAAATCAAAGTAAATTATAATTCCCAGATAGAACCTATGCCACTGCTTCCCCCTCCTACTGTTTTGTATCATGCTCCTTATCCCCCAAATTACCAACCCACTACTGCCCTCATTTCATCTTTCAACATTTGTACTTACTCCACTTAGAAGAGATTCTCCCTAAATCTATTGCATGGCCAGCCCTATCCATATATTCTGCTATTCCACACCGACTTCCCGCTTCACACAAGAAGGAGCCAAAGAAACCAAGAACCATTATCTTTACCAAGAATATCTTAATATCCCTTGACGATTTAAATATCTTACACCAGAAAATGAAAAAAGGTAGTGCTACATCCTGATTGCTATATGATCCTGTTGGCATTTTCCTCAAATATTTAACATAGCTAATCTATTTGTATCGCTGAACAGGGGAATGAGACATGCTACAAATGGATATAAATGATTATCCATTTCTGCCCTCCCTAAATAGGGATAGGGATGTGCACTACCAGTACTCTTGTACCACCCTGGCAGTGCAGAAGATTGTCTTGACTGATGGGTAGTGAGTACCATTTACTAGAAAGAACCACAAAATAAATTTTGAGTCAATAACCTGAGAATTCTTGGGTTCTGCTGCTAGCTTTTTCAAGGTTCCCGTGCTGCCATTTTCAGCAGAATGCCAATTTGAGAGTAATCTAAGTGTCCTAACATTTATATCTCCCCATTGTTTTCAAATATGCCAAATTAAGCGGAGATACCATATGAGGACTCCTAGGAGACCAAGTGTTAAACAATCCAGGATCTTTTCACCCACTGGATAAAGAATTTGAGAGGGTGAGAGAGAGGATAAAAAAATTCTCCTTCTATCCATTCTTCCTGCATCTTTCCAATGGTCCCTATTTGTAATTATATAAAATATTCATGTGTTTAAATAAGTGTTAGTAAAAAACTTTCTATACAATTTTAATATGCTATATTATTCTAATGAAATTGTGTCTGTGTTTCTAAAATAATATAAAAATAGTTTTAACATACTATATCTTTTAGAAAAAAGGTTGTATGTATATTGATCATGTACATATTTTCTATTTCACTTGCTGACTTTAGAGTGGGATCCATTGATTTGGTTATCTTTTTACAGAGAGTATTCATTTGGGATTTGGATGAGACAATCATCATTTTCCATTCCTTGCTTACAGGATCCTATGCTAACAGATATGGGAGAGTAAGTACCATTATACTACTTCTTATTTACAGTAGTATTCTGTTTCATAGTGGTTTTATATGCAGAAGAAATCTGTAGAGTTTTACAAATAAAAGGAATCCTTTAGTCTTAGAAAAGTGAAGTAGATGGACTACCTAACAAGAGTTGTCTAATGGTCTTTGAGGGCTGGTTGCACAAGAATATTCAGTTGTACTATAGATTATGAATAGGGATGGGCACAGACCTGGAAAATGCAGTTCCGTTCATAATTTGTGACGTGTCTGGTTCACGAACCATGAACCATCACAAATGTTTAGGGGCTAAATTAACCAGTTCAGTTCATGAGGTTTGTGATGTGGTAGAACCCCCCTCCAGCATGCTTAAGATGCCAAACTCACAGGGAATCTCCAGATGACTCTCCTCTACCTGCCCTCCAAGTTTGGTGAGGATTGGATGTAATGGGTCTGAGTTACAGCCCCCCAAAGAAGGTGCCCCTAGGAAAGTGCTTTCTGAGGAAATGACAAGTGCAGGTTCAGGAGTGTATAGAATGAACTCTGTGCAAGCTTGAGGCATAAAACTTGCAGGGCACCTCACTATGATCCTCCTCTACATGTCCTCCACGTTATGTGCAGGTTGGACTTCGGGGGTCCAAGTTACAGCCTCCCCCCAAAGGTTACCCCAGGAAAGTGCTTTGGGGGGAAATGTCAGGCGCAGGTTCAAAAGTGCATAGAATGGACCCGCTGCAAGCTACACACACCAAGCATACAGGGAACCTCACCCTACCACCCACTCCTCTACATTCTCTCCAAGTCAGGGGCAGATTACATTTCTGGGGTCCCAGTTACAGATCCCCCCCAAAAAAGGTTTCCCCAGTGCTCTCTGTGGAAAAGACAGCTGCAGTTATCGGAGTCTATGGAATGGCTCAGGAACAAACCAGTGACACCAAACTCGCAGGGAAGCTTCACCTGGGCAGACCCTCCCCCCAGCCAGACACTGGAAGCAAGGCCAGCATCCCCCCTGCGCTCGCAGCCCCCCCCAGTCTCCAAAGACAGGTTCTGAATGACAGAAAGGCAGACATTCCCCAAGTTCCAACAGGGGCTCTCGAAAGCAACCTCACGACAGCTTGGCCACACCACATGAGCAAGGAATGTGTGCCCACAACTATCACAGCCCCCTCCCCGGGCTGAAACACACAAGTCCAGAGCACACCTGTCAACTACGAGGGTCCGAGTTATGGTCCTCCAAGGAAGATGCCCCCAGGAAAGGGCTTTTGGGGAAAATGTCAGGCACAGGTTCAAAAGTGTGGGTCCTCAGCTGAGGCACCCAGTAGCTAAGCCCCTACTGCTTGGCATGAGCAGAGAGATGAGGTGGCTCAGAGATTTGTTCCTCTGTAATAAATGGCAGCTTCAGGGGGTGGGCTCTGTGGAATGAATAATGCCACCAATCTTTCCATCTCCATCCTCCTCAGGTACCACCTCAAATCTAAATAAATAAATAAATATCCACAAATGTCTCAAGCTGGAGTTGGCAGCTCCAATTGTCATCTTATTATGCTCTATCAACCTCTCTGCAGCCTGATGACATCACCAGGTGTTCTCTTAGAGCTTGGATTTCAGCTCTAATAAAACAAATATTTTGACTGCACAAAAAAACCCTCAGCTTGTCCAAAAATGGAATTTGAAGCAAGCACAGGAGTGGTCTTTAACTCTTTGTAATGCATAAACCAGAGATGTCAAACCCATTGTTACGCGAGCCGGATCTGACATAGATGTCACTTTGTTGGGCCAGGCCATGTGTGCCATAAAATGTAATGCCAGGTACCGGAGATATAAACTTTATAAAGGACACAGGCAAATTCAATTAACAATATTATTTTTTACTCAAAATACAAACAAAAGCAATTGATTTACTGGGGAACCCACAAAACCCCCAATAAAGACTAGGAAGAATTTCACATTGCCCTTTTTAACCCGTTATTGTACTGTCATGGAATAAGCCGGTACAGGGATGACTGTTTCACACAGCCTTTCCCTTCCGGTAAGGAGCCATCTCTGAAGTGGTGTGTCATTTCAAACTGCACCGCTTTCTTTTCCTGCCATTCCCCCCCACCCCACGCGCACGATCTTCCTGACAGGTTTTTTTTAACATTCTATTGGAAGTGCTATGGCGCTGAAGCAGGACTATAAGCCAGCGCCATAGCGACCCCATTGAGATGCCTGGTCTCCATTTAGATACACTGACATTCACTACTGCTCTCACCTAGAAAGAAGGAGCTCACAGGATACGGAGTTCAAGCATGGGGGAGACAGGACCGGACAGTTTTGAAACCCAGGAAGCTTTTCTTCCTTCTACTCCCACAAACCATGCACTGTGTGTGCTTGTGTGTGTGTGCCTGAGTCTACACTTCCTCTAAAACAAACTTTTAAAAAATCAACCAAATGTCTATCTCACCATTCACTTATGCCCCTGATCTCCTGCTTAAACAAGCTGTACAATCAGGTACTTGTTTCCAGGGACAGCAATAGCAGATGTCAGTGTATTTAAATGAAGTCCAGGCATCTCAATGGGGTTGCTATGGCGCTGGTTTGTAGTCCTGCTTCAGTGCCATAGCGTTCCCGATAGAACATTAAAAAAAAAGAGGATGATCGCACACGGGGAGAAAAAGGGTCATTGCAGGAAGCGCTATGGGGCATTTTATACTGCACCCCATAGCGCTTCAGAAGCAGTAGAAAGGATTGAAGACTGGAGGAAAGGATTGAAGACTGGAGGAAAGCAGTTTGAGTCAAAAATGCTTCAGGCATGCTTCCTGAACGGGACAGAAGCGTGTTTGTCTGAACAGGTAAATACAGGGGTCATTTCGTAGAAAAAGAGCTAGGGGAACTCATTAGCATAACTCATTAGCATATGCCACACCCCCTGACATCACCGGAAGTGTGTCATAAGGCCACACCTCCTGACATCACCGGAAATGTGTCATAAGGCCACACACCCCGCCTCCAACGGTCCCGGCCGCTGGTGCCGGCCTTGCAGCTCCACTGCCGGGCCCCATGAGGGGCCCGGCGGTGGACCTGCAAGGCAGAGGCAGGGAGGAAGCCACTTACCCTCCCTCTTCTCCTGCCTCCTCCTGGCTGAATGAGGGCCGGAAGCAGGGGACGGGGCTTTGTCATGTGCCCCGCCCCCCTGTACCTCACCCAGGGGAACTGTGTTCCCCCGCGATCCCCCCCCCCGAAATGACCTCTGGGTAAATATATTCTGTCAGGGACCAGTTACTAAAACGGGTCTCTCTGAAATGACAGAAAAACCCCATTAGTGACCAGTTCTTGAAATGGAATACTTAGGCTGTCTGAAATTGGGCTAGGTTTTTTCCCCCAAGGGATACCATAAAAGGGGGACTACCTTATATTTCCATACATACTGGTTGCTTGCAGGCTGGGTAAGAGCCCTGGACAGGCCTTTTCTGCCCCCCCCGGCCTTATGTTTGACACCCCTGGCATAAACCATATTTTGTAGCACTGGGAGAAATCTTGAGAGCATTGCTGCTGTGCAGTTTCCATTCATTCCAGTGGGATTTTCTGCACAGGACCCATTGAAGTGAATGGAAGTAGTGTGCTTGTTAAAACTTGATGTTGGTTTTGTGTCCTTGTCGGTTGTACAATAATGGAAATAATTCAGTTGGAGGTTTTAAAAAGCTGTTTCTGTTTGTTTGGAAATAATAATATATTAATATGTTGCAATATAAATACTAGATTTTTTTTCTCAGGGGAAATAATAGTTGTCCATTTAAAGTGATTAGTGATACAAACTGCCTTGCATAGTAAAGAAAGATTGTTTAGAGTTTCTTGCCCAACCAAGTGTTTACGGATTGAAGTGTTGATGTATGTTCATACACTGAAATAATGCGTGGAGACTATTTCAAGTATGTTCCTAAGTAATAGATGTGCCTCTAGAGTTGCTTCCATATGGGATATCAGAACTGGCTTGTCTAAAATCTCTCCAAGTTGGGGGTGGATTACATTTCCGGGATTCCAGTCACACCCCCCCCCAAAAAAAAAGATCTCCCACATTTATACCCTTCCACTCCTCCTGAGTGTGAACACCTCTCTGTGCCATGAGAGTGAAAGTGCATACAAAGGGTACTCGTTTTGGGGGGAAGAAGTCCTCCACTCCTTGCATACCACAGACCCCCATCCCTGAGCACCCTCATGGAGGACGTAGTCTTTTGCCAGCTGCAGTAGTAATGGTCAAGTCTTAGCTCTCCAGAGTGCAAGGCAGAACCACGCACTTCACAACAGACCTCTGGAGCAGCCAGCAGGACTGTCGGGGCATGGCCCAGACCCCAGGAAGGGACAGTCCTGCCACCAGGCTACATAGTGGTTCTGCTCCATGTGCAAGGGGATGGATGCAGGCCACACAGTGCAAAACATTGCTGCCATGATACAGAGTAGCCTGAGGTAGTGTATGGGTGGTAACAACATCATCTGTGGCTACATGGTCATGGACTCCAGTGCTAACATGCTGGCAGAGGTGAAGTGTGCGCGCCTCAAGGGCATCGTCTGCCTGGTGCACACACTTTAGCTGGTGGTGATGGATGCTCTGGAGCTGGGGAGCACTATCAAAGCCACCTGGGATGCTGCCCCTCGAGATGTGGTCCTTGCTCAATACCTGTTGGTGCCTGGCTGCCCACTTCTTACGCAGCATCAAGTGTGCCCATCTGCTGCATGAGAGGCAGGGGGAGGGGTATTTGGAACTCCACCTATGCCATGATTGCGTGTTTGGTGGAGCAGAAGACCACCGTGCAGGGTGTCATGTCTTCCATAACCATCCTGCACAGGGAAGAGGAGCTCTCTGCAATAAATGGGAGTACAAGCTGGCTTGTATGTGTGACTCCCAGATAAAAGGCAACATTGCTCTTCTGAATGCAGTGCTCTTACAATGAAAGGATGAGCTCTGCAAAAAAGTGCAGAAGCTAGAGGCCAGCATATGTGGCCAGAAGGTACAGTAGGTGGAAGAGGCTTGGGATG